CTTAGAAGGTGTTAATTATTTGACCGAGTTAGGAGGAATTAAATATCTGATCGAGTTAGGAGGTATTAAATATCTGATCGAGTAAGGAAGTATTAAATATCTGATCGAGTAAGAAAGTATTAAATATCTGATCGAGTTAGGAAGTATTTAATATCTGATCGAGTTAGGTGGTATTACGTATCTGATCGCGTAAGGGGGTATTAAATATCTGATATAGTAAGGAGGTAATGAATATCTGAATGAGTTAGAAGTAATGAAATGTATGATTGATATGAGGTATTGAACATATATTTATCAATTACTAATTGGGGGCGTTTTTATATATATATATATCCATTATCCAGATATGATAACTACCATCTGAAGTTGTTCATCTAGGTATTATTTTTTTATTCTTACCCTTCTTTACGAAGTTACGGCCCTTCGTTGACAAATCCTGATTTTTTTGTCCGGACAACTCCTTCTAAATTCATGGTTCCATTTTAACGAAAGTTTCCTCATATGATAACTCCCACCTGCAGTTGTGCATCCGGGAATTTTTTTTATTCCTACCCTTTTTACAAATTTATGGCCCTTTCTTGAAAAATCCTTGTCCGGATAACTCCTTCAAAACTACGTTGCCAAATTCAACGAAAGTTTCAGATATGATAATTACCACCTAGTATTGTGCATCTAGGTATATTTTTTTTTCATTCTGACTCTTTTACGGAGTTATTGCCCTTTGCTGAAAAGTGCTTGCCCGCACAACTTCTCCAAAACATCTGGGTCAATTTCAATGGAGTTTAATGTGCATCCAGGTGTTATTATTTCACTGTGTCCCTTTATTTGGAGTAATGGTCCTTTGTTGAAAAAATACTTGTCCACACAACTCATCTAACACTATGCGAACCATTGCTACGAAAGTTTTCAGATATGATAACTATCCCCTGATGTTGTACATCAAGTTTTTTTCCCAACCCTTTGTTATGGAGTTATGGTCCTTTATTGAAAAAAAATTGTCCTGTCAACTTCTCCTAATTTATTAAGCGAATTTCAAAGAAAGTTTACAGATATAGTAACTGCCCTCTGATGTTGTGCATCCAAGTAGTATTTTTTTTTTACTACATTGCAAGTATACAACAATGCTAGTTGTCATACTGTGATCAATCGTAATGACAGATGAACAAAAACATACCGTCACATTGTCCTTGATATATTTTAATACTGTACAGGATATGTACATTTAAAATGCTCAAAATAATGAAACATGCACACAACGATTGTCACAAATACCGTTATCAGGTAATCGCCTCTCAAGGTGGTATGTAAACGTATGATCCTATGCCACCTGGCTTATATCTCCCTATGTGTATATTCCTGCGTGTGTGCTGGAGATGTAAGGTGTAAGATGTAGTGTTTTAACAGGAGTTTAAATAATAATACATCTTATATATATAAATAAACATGATGATCGTAGTTATTTTAATGTGTCATCTTTATTGCCAAATAAATTACTATCATTTCACATTTATATCAACATAATTACCCTAGCCATAATAATGCTACACTTTAATACACCTACCATCATTACACATTTTTAACATGATTAACGTAGATATTGTAATTTTACACATTATAGCCACATAAACTATCACTACATATTTACACCAACATAATCACCGTAGTTATGATAATGTTACATATTTATAACCACATGAACTACCCACATTTATATCAACATAAGTACCGTAGTTATGATAATGCTACACCTTTATATCCACATGAACTACTTACAAACCACACATTTATATAAACATAAGTACCGGAGGTATGATAATGTTACACCTTTATAACCACATGAACTACTTACTAACCACACATTTATATCAACATAATTACCGTAGTTATGATAATGTTACACCTTTATAACCACATGAACTACCCACATTTATATCAACATAAGTACCGTAGTTATGATAATGCTACACCTTTATAACCACATGAACTACTTACTAACCACACATTTATATCATCATAATTACCGTAGTTATGATAATGTTACACCTTTATAACCACATGAACTACCCACATTTATATCAACATAAGTACCATAGTTATGATAATGCTACACCTTTATAACCACATGAACTCCTTACTAACCACAAATTTATATCAACATAATTACCGTAGTTATGATAATGTTACACCTTTATAACCACATGAACTACCCACATGTATATCAACATAGTACCGTAGTTATGATAATGCTACACCTTTATATCCACATGAACTACTTACAAACCACACATTTATATAAACATAATTACCGTAGTTATGATAATGTTACACCTTTATAACCACATGAACTACTTACTAACCACACATTTATATCATCATAATTACCGTAGTTATGATAATGCTACACCTTTATAACCACATGAACTATTTACAAACCACACATTTATATTATTATTATTAATAATTGTTATTTCTACACATTTATATCAACATAATTACCGTAGCTATTATAATGCAACATCTTTATAGCCACATGAACTACTTAAATAACACGCATATATATCACCATTACTACCTTAGATTTTGTAATATTATACCTTTATTACCAAAAAAACTTCTCTAATTTTATATTAAAATAAACAGAATTACCGAAGATATGATTATATCTCACTTCTATTGGCAGATGAAATACCACCATTACACATTTCAACCTAATTACCGTAATAATGATAATGTTTAAAAGCGGACGAAGCAGGGCAGTGGGGAGTGACCCTTTGATTAGTGAAACTCGTTTTAATGTCTTTTCTTTTTAATTTTCAGTTCTTTTTCAATGTATGTTTATTAGGAATCAAGGCAATAATTTAAATGAATGTTCCCTTACTTTGACAAAACAATCAGCGTCTCTATCTGACCTAGAGTATTACCCCTAATCTATATACGAGAGAAAAAGTAACACTTTGTAACGTTATATTTAGTTGTCATATTCTTATGCCGGTAGAGAACTTTGTCAAATAAGAAAAAAGTTTTAAATACACTATCATCACATTTGAAAACAAACCACAGCGCTTCTTCTAGTCTTTTTGTTTTGTTTATGTTATGCCTGATACTAATATATCAAGGCAAATTTTAAAAAAGTATAATACATTATTGCAATGGATTTTGGTCCAAAACCTTGGGCATTTAGATTTTGTGAAAACCACATTCTTATATGTTGTAAAATATATAAAGAAATCGTCTCGCTGCGCTCGGCAATGCTTACAAAAATATCAACTAGAGTTTTTTTTTATTAATTTCTAAATTTTTCCACCGTACAATACCAAAATCAATATTAAAATTACCTATCAAGGCGGAGATCGCACACAAGAGCGCTTCTAAATTTTGGTGCTTGTATTCAAACGTAATTAACTAGTTTCGATATGTTGACACCTGTATAACCACAGTGACACGTAATTAACTAGTTTCGATATGTTGACACCTGTATAACCACAGTGACTGCTATCATCACACAATTTTCATAATTAACGAAGCTATGAGTACGTTTAACCTTAGAACTACCATTACTTACACGAAGCCAATGAGCCTTAGTTGTCCCTTGTGTCGTGATACAATAGCGTTCTGCTGTTGTGACGTGGCACAGAAAAATGATAGTATAGAGCAAGGTAACATGTGGTTCGCCGACAAAAAAATGTTGCGGAGTGACCAACATATATCATAATATATAGCTGATAATCACCACCAATCAAAGTGCAAGTAATTTGCAGTATACCAGTTATAAAATGCTATTTTTTTAGAATTAAAACCAGACTCAAATGTTTGCTTTTAATCGATTAAGTGTTTTTTGAGAAAAAAATATCCAAAAGTGAATTGTTTCCTGAAAAACAACAAGAGTATGCCGAAGTGTCAACAAAACCAAATAACGAACACACAATCGATAAAAGTAGGTCAGTATGTGGACAAAGGAAGGAGTAAGATGTTGGGGAAGGGCAGGCGACTTCTGCTTCAATGGCAACAACCGCCATATACAATGTACCAAGCAATCTCTTGTCTTCAAGTCGAGAACTTGGCTAGTTACAATAAAACCGTGATAAGGAGCATAATATAAATATCGACCTTCATATCACACAATGGAATGACCTGTTTCCCTATATGAGATCATGATAACGACCCCATACACTTGTTCTCATCAACCCTTATCTTCTAATTCCTTAAGTTTGTGGGTCAGCAGTCGTCATATATCAATAAGCTTTGATTTCCAGAGCAAACCAATGAATATCGCCTGGGACCTGTAAACACCGAAAATAGGGAAGGCAGGGTGATGGTAGCATAAAAAAGCAAAGTTCAAGGTCGGAATATCGATATTGTCCCGCTTATCGTACAGCTTATACATGACGGACAGAACAGGTCGATGAGGTGCTACTGTAGCTAAATGTTTCACCTTTAAAACAACAACAACTACTATCCTTACCTATACATAAAGCCACGTCTTTACCCTAACTGTCTATTACAATGATATCAATATACTTATCATACTTACGTTATCACTTTATCTGATTATACTAAGCTAAATACAGCCATCAGATAATGACGTCACATACATCCAGATTTGGAGAAACCGTATTAGCTACTAAGGTAATAGACATCAAGACTTGGAAAAAAACAGACTTTCATTCCAAGCCAGTGACGTAACACACATCCAGACGTGAAAATTGCGTCTTACTACGAAATCACCTGATCAACAAATAATGAAACGTACAAGAAACTAAAATTCCTCATCAATCAATGACATACATTCAGACAGGCAAACACCTCGTCAAGCTGTGATAAAACAGACATATAGACATAAAATGGAAACCAAGTGCATATTATGAATACAAACAAAAACAATGTTGGCTAAACAGAGGAAAAATAAACGCACATGTCTATATCTTACTTCATAAATGACTCATGTAATTGTCCTCCGCAGTCACCATAGCAACGGCTATGCTTGTGTCATTAACGTGTTTAACGTCATCTATGTTTTCGTATTGGTGATCTGAAGCTTCTTCATTGTCACTGGCTGCGGTTTCGCTACTACGCATAACGTTATCCATGGTTTCATATTGGTTGCCGGAGATTTCCTCCTTGGATCCAGAGTCCTTTAGGAAAGCGTTGTTTGAGTAACCAAGTTGCTTATCTTCGACTTCCGACTGAAATCCTTTAATGTCATGGTGGAGTTTATCATGGGACAAAATCCGCTGCTTGTACTGTTTTCGGTTTTCTTTTATAAGGGGTATAACATTCACCTCTGGTCCTATAAGTGACAGCAGAACCGGCAATAGAAACAGGGAATGGGCAAATCCGAACAGCATCACTAAAAACATCAATTTGAAAAAAGACTGAAAAATATATGATGTCGAAAATACTAGTACAATAACGCCAAGTATGGTAGAGATGGCAGCATTAAATATCGGGCCCCCGGACCGGGTTATAGCGGCACTGACGATAGAGTTCCTGCACGTGCCTTCCATACATATGTACGCGTGGCAGATGTGTGCACTAAAGTCCACAGAAAACCCGATACTCATGATGAGGTGGATCATAGTGACGGAGCTGAGGGTCAGGTCCCAGAAATACATGAAGCCAAATAGACCAAGGAGGATCATGATCATTGTTAGACCAACCAGGGCCACGAGTAGAGGATGAGGCATGAACAGCGCGGTCACTAAGATCATCACGATGACGGCTATTCCCACTGTGGTCAGTGTGCTGGGTAGAATAGCCACAAATTGTTCAAAGTAGATAAAGGGAGCAGAGTGGACAAGTACATTAAGCTCCGAAGCGGCGGCTATCTCACGCATTCGGAGCATCATCTCACCTTGCTGAGTAGAATGCTTAAGATTCTTCGTGATAATGTTTATCCGTGAGGCCGCTATGTTTCCATTGTCGTCAAATATGACATTATTCACAAGATCAGGTCTGTATTGCAAGTATAATTTTAAACCTTCTTCGAAGACATTAGATGAATTACCTAATAGTCTTAGAAATACGGATTCCTTGTATTGTTCCAGCCAATTCCATTCGGGAATATACGTCACTGTTGAAGATTCGCTTTTTATAGTTTCGACCAAATGGTCGATATGTTTAACAGTGTTTGCGTCGGTATAATTAAGTGTAGACTGAAAAACGAAGGAAACAATCATTTGAGTTGTAAAGTAGTCCTCGTCCCATATGGCGTACTTATAATAATAAGATTTCTGATCGGCCAAGTTACTTAGCTTTAGACCCTGTTGGACATTGATTGTTCCATAAATAGAAAGTCCAAGGTATGCACCAAACGCTAACAGAATTAGCACTTTACATGGTGGAAAAAGTACAAACCGCTGAAGCACTAGTTTTGGAATTCGCTCCAGCGGACTTTCATTGTCCATTCTGCCTCTAGGTGGCGAACCCCCACAACAGCGGACGTGTCGGCGGGATTTCCCCTGTGACTGTAGGTGTTCCCGGGACTCTATGGGGAGACAGGTGAGGCAGTGTCTCCGACTGGCCATTCGTCGCTCGTTGAGTACCATACAAGGGACGAAGAACGTAAGCTGGTTGATGTAACACACTAGGACGCCTACCCCTGTGTAGAGACAGGGACATTTTGTTAATATGAATAAAGACATGAATATTGACGACAAATATAAACAAATATGAAAAATAGAAGATATATACCAGAACATATGAGAACAAGATTGAAACTCAACATCGGGAGAAAGACAACATTGACATTGCGAAAATGAACCCAAACGGCATGCCTTTTTGATCTACATCTTACCGAGTCAAATCCATGAAAGGAGTATTGTCTAAATCACAATGACCAAATAATTGATCACGACAGTTTTTGCAAGTATTGACAACAGCAAAAATTTATTTCTTTAACATAGAATCTTCAAAGACAAAAAAATGGACGCATAAGGGATTATTTAAATGCAGGTGGGTTGAGTAATTCTGTGTATTAAAGAAACAATCAGCAATGTATTTGAATATGTAATTAAAACAACTAGTCTTTCTTCTTCAAAAGTCTTTACATAACCTACGCGTCACAACAATACACTTACAGAAACACCAAGAACAATTTGTATCAGGTTTTACTGGAGGAATACGTAATTGTTAGAATGACCCGATTTCCTATTACATCATTTCAGTGTTCACCGTGTGTCAGAATCAGTCCCCTTCTATCATAGATGATCTACCAACCTGGGTTTGACTGGAAAGACATGACAGATAACGGACGTGGGTAGGAAATGCATTCACTTCCTTATTACCAAGTTATTCTTTTATTTAATAGATTTGTTTAGTTTGGTTTAATTTTGTTTAACGTCCTTTCAACAGCGAATGTCATTTAAGGACGCGTGCTTGCTTGTGTCTATGCAGGAGATGTTGATGTTCTTGCCTCCTTGTGATAGCGGGGATCTGATGCCGACTTTATAGTGCTATCTCACTGAAATGCTATGCCGTAGACACCCAGCACAGCATTCCGCCCGGTCACATTATACTGACAACGGGTGAACCAGTTGTTGCCATTCCCTTAAATGTTGAGCATTAAGCAGGGAATAACAACTACCATTTTTAAGGACTTTGGCATGTCCCGGCCTGGGCACAAAACCCATTGCCTTCCTCACCTAGGTGCACGCTCAACATTAAAGCAAAAAGTGAGGTGTTGCCAAGCCAGGCGCTAAGAAATAAAAGGTAGTAAGAAGTAGAAAGAAAGATAAAGATCCCAAATATTGCAATGGGTGCAGCAGATTTACTTTGGTCGCGTGTGTGTCCCCAAATAGAGGACACCAAAGCAAATCCCCAAATTCTGCAGGGGTTCCTACACTAGTCGCCTCCTACGATACATGCAGTGGGTAACAGCAGATGTATTCTTTTCCCGATCCCCCACCTGCAGGGGTGTTATTAAATAGAAATTCGTTATGTCTTCCTTTTTGTTTGAGTATATTTACCTTTATTTGTTTAGTACGTTTGGTTATGTTAGAGATTTACCTGTATATATACAGAAGTTCCTGACGCTGAGGAACACTGAGGAAGCCCCAATGGCGAAAGCCAGGAAGTCTGTTAGTGACGTGATAGTGATGGCGACGCCACTCGTCCTCAAAGTCTGCTTAATTTTGTCTTCGATACTGTACGAGACCGGAGCATCTGCGAGGCCGGACAGCAGGATAAACATGTCATCTAGTCCTATACCTGGAAATACATCATATCGCTACAATGATTCATTTTAGGAGGTTGGGAGAAATGGAAAATGTTAGCCTCTTCACCGGGTAATATCATTCAGAAAGAATAAAAATAGGTCTGGGCAACAGTATGGCTAATATTACCTATAATGTTATAAGTATAATTATTATGGTCAATCACTCAGTTACACAGGTTTCCTTCTGGAGTGGTAGTCCACCCACTCTACGGATACCACACGGCCTTTAAACATGACGTCATAACTAACCATGAGACTTTAGTGTTTTTTTCCCTTATTGCTAGAAAAGGCTTGTTCATATCTTGTTCTGTCTTTGATATCAAGGGACTGGAAAATTATACAGGATGAAGAGATGCTAAGTCTTCCGGAGGACCTTTTTCTGTGTCTAGTGGACATTCGTGGTATTTCTGAATGTTTTATTTCACTTTTGATTTGATATATGCTTGAGCATGTTACTTTCTTTTCATATACAAATTGAGGTTTGATTTAGATTCAGAAAAAAAAGACTTCCGAAAAAAACGAAAGAAATCAATGTTAGAAACTGAGGATAAGAACGTTAATTATTTAAAGTCGTCCCATAAAGGTTGATAGGCAGTTGTATACGTTTAACTGTAGTCTTGTTTGTCTTTGGAAAGTTTTATTCAGTAAAACTAAGGTCGTCCTGTTTTACCAAGGTAATTGGTTTTCTACAGTTTTCCCGACGTTATGGCTTAAACTATTCCCTGTTATAATTTTCCCGATGTTCGGATTTATACTATTCCTTGTTACAATTTTCTCGATGTTCGGATTTATACTATTCCTTGTTATAATTTTCTCGATGTTCGGATTTACACTATTCCCTGTTTTAATTTTCTCGATGTTCGGGTTTATTTTATTCCTTGTTATAGTTTTCTCGATGTTCGGATTTACACTATTCCCTGTTTTAATTTTCTCGATGTTCGGATTTACACTATTCCCTGTTTTAATTTTCTCGATGTTCGGATTTATTTTATTCCCTATTATAATTTTCTCGATGTTCGGATTTACACTATTCCCTGTTATAATTTTCTCGATGTTCGGGTTTATACTATTCCTTGTTATAGTTTTCTCGATGTTCGGATTTATACTATTCCTTGTTATAGTTTTCTCGATGTTCGGGTTTA